ATTTTCAGCTTTTTCACCTTTTTTCAGTTATATGAGAACCAGTTTGGCTCAGTGAGATGAGTATGAGATGAAATTCTGCTGATTTACCTCTTTTCTGCCAAATCTTCAAACATTTCACTTCTTATCAGCATAATTCTCAGCAGCTCCTGCTCATTTCAGCAGAATTGTCAGTCTCTCCACCTCTTCTTTTTGAGAATGAGATGAGTAGCTGCCTTGAGACCAGAAGGGCCAGGTTCAAATCCTGCTCAGGGCAATCTTTTGTTTCAACTTTTTCAGCTTTTTTCACCAGACATCTTCAGCATTAAGGCATCCAGACAGCATTTTCGCAGGAAATGCAAATTTTTCTAGTTATTATTAATTTCTTAAAGTTCTCGTTCTCTTATATTTAATATAACCACACTACGGACGGACAAGCGCCTGTTTTTATGCGTTGTCATTAGCAACAACGACGGTAATACCATCGCGTGTCCGCTTGTTTATGTTCCACATAAACCTTTCACAATAAAGCTCAAGATCCTGTTGAGACTTTTCAAAATAAACTGAATCACGTGAAAGAGCAGATTATTTATGGATGAGAAGTAAAAAAGAGCTAAAAAATAAACCTCAGACTCAAACGTTAGAACAGGCTTTTCCCCGCAGCACGCCGTGTCACAAAGGAAACGGCGCCGTTACAACTTATGTCTAAAAATGTATCGTTTCATGCATCGGTTAAAACACTCGACTCCAGCTACATGACGCACAGCTGGAAACACGTCACACAAGTCGAGCTGCCCGAGATTCACAGAATTTACAGAAGATGTTACATTTTTGTGATTTATATCGTTATCGGACGATAGATGTTTTATATCAGGATATGAGATGTTGTTCGTATCGCACAGCCCTACATGAACGTTTCCTTGTTCACAGCCGGAGTCGCCTCTAAGCTGGCTGCGTTTTCTCTTCTCCACATTCTTTGCATTTACAAAAACCTGCAGATTCGTGCTGCAGCTCACACACATGCACACGCATGCTCCGTCATTTTAAAAACTCTAATCATTCACGCGCTCCGTCCACAGATGCACATGTTCATCGCCCGCTATTGTGACCTGCTCAACGTCGTGATCTCGTGCGATGGCTGTGAGAGGATGGCACCTTGGCACCGCTACCGATGTCTGCAGTGCATGGACATGGACCTCTGCAAGACCTGCTTCCTCAGTAAGTGCATGACAGCGATGATCACCTTCCCGTAGTCGTGGTTACTCACTCTGGATGCGTGTACATGTTAACCAGGTGGTGCGAAGCCTGAAGGCCACGAGGACGATCATGAGATGGTAAACATGGAGTACGCCTGCGATCATTGCCAGGGGCTTATTGTCGGCAGCAGGATCAACTGCAACGTGTGTGAAGACTTTGACCTGTGCTTCGGTTGTTACCACGCAAAGAAGTATCCTGACAGGTGACGCGCGCCAAGTCACATTTAATGTTGAGCTTCGCCTCTTTAGTTCTCCGTTTATTAAATGGTTATCGTCCCATCGCCAGCCACCTGCCCACCCATCGGATCACCGTGTACCCCATGGTGACCATACGGATCAGCGATCGCCACCGCCTCATCCAGCCCTACATCCACAACTACTCTTGGCTGCTGTTTGCTGCTTTGGCCCTGTACACGTCCGAGCTGAGCAGCGAGAAGCAAACGGGTGGAGACGCGTTGGACTGCGACGCTCTGAACGTGGCCAAAGCCCTGCAGACCCACTGCTCCCAGCTCATCACGGACTGCCTGCTCAAAGGACAGACTGGCAAAGGTAAGTCACAGCAGTGTAGCATTTGCATCGTTTTACATGCACAGACTGGTTATTAACATGTAATACTCCCTTTTTCTTCTGTGCTCTGCGTAGGTTTCCGTTCCTCTGCTTTGCTCGCTCTTCTGTCCACCAATGACTCTGCTTCTGACAGCGAGCTGTGTCCAGTCTCTCCCGAGTCCTCTCAAGAGCTCAGCACAGCCACGGACACCTCCTCGCTCCCGGGAAGCACAGCAGCGATCTGCTCTCCTTCATCTCCTAAGCACAAGGTGGGGAATGCAGCTCGTGTTCAAAGATAATGTGACGTCCTCGTCCTCATATTTGGGTCTCGCCGATTTACAGAAAAAGATGCAGAAATGTGTAAAAGTCGCACGATCTGATATCCTCGTGTTGGTGTTGTTCCCAGATCATCATA